GCACTGAAATCATTCATGCGCGTGCATCGTGCGCCGCCGCTGCGTAGGCATGCACTCTATACCCATCAGTTCTCACAGGCTATAGCCCCCCAGCGCTACCCCACCAATCGGCTGGCCTGGCAGCCTTGCAGTTGTTTGTTTCGGTCTCCAACATCGCTCAGGTGGTGCAGTGTCGCCCATGCACATCAGACTTCAAGCGCTCGAACCTTTTCGGCTCGAGCTTCTGTTCTTCGTTTTGTTGGCCGCTGCGCGTTGGTTTTACAATACCGCACGGTTTATGCATGTTTTTGTTTACAACCCTTCTGCGTTGCAGTGTTGGACGTATCCTTCACTGCCGGAGCTTCTATTTGCTGACCACGCCTGAGGCTCCTCCTGCGCCGCCGGTTACAAAAGTATGTGGGTCTGTGTGTCTTGTGTGTTGTGCGATGTGTGTTGTGTGTTGTTGTGTGTTGTTGTGTGTTGTTGTGTGTTGTGTGTTGTGCGTACGTGCGTGCGTGCGTGCGTGCGTGCATGTGTCGTGCGTGCGTGCGTGCTTGCGTGCCTGCGTGCCTGCGTGCGTGTGTGTGTGTGTGTGTGCGTGTGTGCGTGTGCGTGTGTGTGTGCGTGTGCGTGTGCGTATGTGTGTTTGTGTGTGTTTGTGTGTGTGCGTGTGCGTGTGCGTGTGCGTGTGCGCGCGCGCGTGTGTGTGTGTGTGTGCGCGTGTGAGTGGGCGTGTGTGGGCGTGGGCGTGGGCGTGTGCGGTGCCGGTGCGTGTGCGTGTGCGTGTGTGCGTGCGTGTGTGCGTGCGTGTGTGCGTGTGCGTGTGCGTGTGCTTGTGCGTGTGCGCGTGCGTGTGCGTGTGCGTGTGCGTGTGCGTATGCGTGTGCGTGTGTGTGTGTGTGTGGGTGTGTGGTTGTGTGGGTGTGTGGGTGTGTGCGTGTGTGCGTGTGTGGGTGTGAGTGTGGGTGTTTGTGTGTGTGTGGGTGTGTGGGTATGTGTGGGTGTGGGTGTGGGTGTGGGTGTGGGTGCGGGTGTGTGTGTGTGGGGGGGGGGGGGTAAGCGGGGGTGGGGCAGGGTCCCAGGGGCGTTGGGGAACACTGATTTTGTACACGGCCGTTTCGGGCCCGTCGTGGAGCGTCGACGCGCGCCAAAGGATGGGAAGAGGAGCGACGAGAGGGCCCAAGAGACGCCCAAGAGGGTGCCCATACGGCCCAACAGCGCTCCAGAGGAGCCCAAGACCGCCCAAGAAGGTTCCAGGATGGCCCAACATGGCGTCAAGACAGCACGAGAGGGCCTCAACAGCCTTCAAAAGGAGTCGCACGAGGCCCCCAAGAGGGTTTTTCATGCTTCCGACGGGCCAAGACACGAGACCCCAGAAGTCGGCCCAAGACGGCCCAAGTGGCACGCAAAGAGGGCCCCAGGACGGCCCAAGAGAGTCCCAAGACGGCCCAAGGGCGCTCCAAGTCGGCGCCCAAACAATCCAGATGGTCCCAAATGGCTTCAAGAGAATTCCAAGAGGGCCCCAAGAGCCCTCCAAGAGGGCCCCGACAAGGCCCCAAGGCAGCCAAAGCCCTCCAAGACGCCCCAAATGGATCCCAGGACGGCCCGAGAGGGCGTGAAGTGGCCCAAAAAGGACCCACGAGGACACCCAAGAAGGCCCAGCGACGCTAAACAAGTGGCACGCGTGCCATGGCTCTTGCACAAAACGGAGGTGGAAGGAGGAAGAGGAGGAGGAGGAGGAGGAGAAAGGAGGAGTAGGAGGAGGAAGAGGGTGAGGAAGAAGAAGAGGAGGAGGAGGAGGAATGGGGGGGAGAGAGGGGACGAGAAATCGGAGAAGTCTCGGGGGGGGGCGGGACGGCGGGGTCGGTGCGACGCAGAAACAAACATAGTCGGAGCAGAGGAGGGGCGGGGTGCACTGGGCGGGCGGGGAGGGGAGAACGATCGTGGCGGCGGGACGGTGGCGGCCGTGCGACGCGGAAGAAAACGTTCGTGGCGGAGGGGGCTGTGGGCGGGGCTCCTACTGGAGTGCTGGGGACGCGGGGGGGCTCGGGGTGACTGGGCTGAGCTCCTACTGGGTCGTTGGGGACGGGGGGGGGAGGGTGGAGGAGGTGGTGTGCGTCGCGACGCGGATTAAGATGGTCGGGGCGGAGGGGGCACTGGGCGGGGCTTGGGGCAGAGGGCCACGGGGCGGGGGTCCGACTGGGGCGCTGGGGACGGGGGGGGAGGGGGGAGGTGGTGGGCGGGGGTACGCGGGACGCGGGGGACGCGGGGGTACCCGGGGCAGAGAGCCACGGCGCGGGGATCCCATTGTGGCGCTGGGGACGCGGGGGGGGGGTGTGCGACGCGGAATAAAGCGTTCGTGGCGGAGGGGGCAGAGGGCGGGGCTCCCGCTGGAGCGCTGGGGGCGCGGGGGGGCTCGGGACAGAGAGCCACGACGCGGGAGTCCCACTCTGGCGCTGGGGACGCGGGGGGTCGTGGTGTGCGACGCGGAATAAAGTGGTCGGAGCTCTAGACACCCTGTGCAAGATAATAAAATGCACAGATGTTCGTCCGGTTCATTACGTAACGAATTCCAAACACCAAGGATCCTAATTGCGGGCGGTGGTGTGAGCTCAAGACTGCCAAAAGAGATTCCCGAGACGCCGAAAAGGTGGCTGCAAGGCGGCCCAACTGCCCAACTGCTGCTCCAACTGCTATTGACGCTTCTGCCTCCTTACCTTCCTCCCCGGTCTTGTCCTGCACATCCTCGGAAAAAAGGTCGCTTCGAGATGCGTCTAGCCGCGGCGACTACGAGAGCCCCGGAAGACAAAACAATTTCGGACCTCGATCCTCGCCCGGGGGCCTGGCACCTCGCTAGCACCTCGCCCATTTTTTTGAGGCCCCCTTCCCCAGAGCCTCCAAGGAGCCCCTAGGCGGCCCAAGAGGCCTCCGAGACAGCCTGAGGTGCCCCCAAGACCGCCTAAGAGGAATGAATATGAGCCGAAGACGGCCCAAAATGACACCAAGAGCGCTCAGGATGGCCTCAGCACGGCTCAAGAGGTCCCCAGGACACCCCAGAAGAGCCCCTGGCGCGCCCCAACGAGGCCTTGATGAGGCCAAACACATTGATGTCCTTCGGGTGTTTAAGGAATTTCTGTGTTTTCGCTCTTCCTGGCTTCCGACCGCCCAAGACGGCTCCAAGGCGGCACAAGATGGGCCCAAGACGGCCTCGGCACGGCCTTAAGAGGGCCCGAAGACAGCCCAAGAGGACCCCAAACTGGGTCCAAAACGGCCCCACGAGATACTCAAGATGACCATGCAAGCCCCCAGGAGGGTTCTAAAACGGCATCCAAAGACGCTCTCAAACCGCATCTCCAGCATGCGTCCGTCAAGAGGCTCGAAGCATGCCGAAGGCTGGCAGGAGGTGGCTCGACAGCTCTTCAATGATGAAGGCACAGTCATCGAACTTGAGGCCTTGCCAGTGCGACCAGGAGGAGTTTCTGCACGTGCTCCGCCAGCTAGCGTGACAGCGCATGCATTCAATGTTAATGTCGCGTTCCCTCCTCCGTCTTTCCTCGACCTGCGTGCATTCTATTTCAAGGCAGTGCTTGCCCCGTCCTCCGTCATTTCTCGCCGCTCCCGCACGTGCTCGGCCAGACAGGCTAAGAACATATGACGACATCCAAAGACCAGCAAACAACGGCCTCGACATTTCATCAGAAAGCCAGTCAATGCCCCAAGGCTGTTCAGCGATCTCCCCGACAAGCCCGCAAGCCAAGACTTGCGTGTCGTGACAACGATCTGGCAACCCTGGACGGCGCCATTGGGGCCAAAGACACGTGCCCCTCCCGCCAAGACAGCACCTAAACAGCCCCAAATCAAGGCAGCCCTGCGACATCCCATAACCGGCCCAAGACGGTGGCAACCCTTCTCCGACAACGAGTCGCCCGCAAACCCAGACCGTTGTGTCATCACAGCGCTCTAAGCTGGGCTAGAACCTCAAGGGTTGGTGCCACTGTGTGGCATGGGGGGCCAAACGAGCCTCCACCCGCCAAAAGGGCCCTCAAAGGGGCCCTGAGGCTACCAGAGGGGGCCTCGACAGCGTCAGCACGCCGACCATTGCTTCGAGACGGCTCAAGTGGCCTCCAAGACGCCCCAAGAGAGCTTCCAACTGATCCCCGACAGGCCCCACGGGCGAAAAAATAATTGATCCTTGGGTTTTCCCAGGAATTTCGTGTGGTCGCCTGCTCCGCTGCCCGACGCCGTAGTATGCGGGCACCCCCGCCGTCTCTTTCAAAAAACATACAAATTGTTTGCGCCCCCCCCCCGATCATGACCCAAGATTCTGCCCCGAAGTGAACTCCACATTATTTCTGTGACGGGGATTGTGGGGGATGGGGGGGTCCTGGTTGGCTGTCGGTCGCCTGAGAGAGGGGATGTTTGTTAATACCCCGTCCCGAAGGAGAAGGAAGGAGTTGGGAAAGGACTCACGCTCTGAAGGGGCGGTGGGATTCTTCGCCTGGGCCAGTCCGACGACCCCCACTAGCAGGCGAGTGAAGACCGCAGCCCACGGCGCGGCAGCCTTTGAGGAGTCCCGGGGCGGAGATCGCTCGAGGCTGGACGGTCTGCGTGGCGTCGGGGGCCAGGGCCGACGCCGCCACGGCAGGGGGCTGCCGTGCACCGATGTTGGCTCGGCCAGCCGGGTGCCCAGGACGGGCATGGCCAGGATCCGCGCAGGCGCTCTCCAGTCGGAGCTCTGTTGGAGGAGGGGGAGGAGGAGGAGGAGGAGGAGGAGGAGGAGGAGGGGGAGGGAGGAGGGAGGAGGAGGGAGGAGGAGGAGGAGGAGGAGGAGGAGGACGACGACGACAACCACGAGCGCGAGCGCGAGCGGACGACGAGGACGACGATGTGGCGACGACCCGTGGACAACGACGACGGCGACGACGAGCGGACGACGTCCAGCGGACGACGACGACCACGAGCTGACCACGACGGCGACGACGACGACGACAACGACGACGACGAGCGGCCTCCGCGGGCAGGGCGGCCACCACGACGGACCCCCACCGGAGCCGCCCCTGGCGGCGGCGTTGCCGGCCGCTCCAGCGGCGTCATCGCCCAGGTGCCCCTGCACCCCCGGTTGTTGTCATCGTCGTCGTCGTCGTCCTGGTCGCCGTCGTCGTCGAAGATGGGAGTGGGGATGAGGGGGAGGAGGGGGTGAGGAGGGGGACGAGAGGGACGATGGGGAGGAGGGGGAGGAAGGTGGGGATGAGAGGGAGACGGTGTGAGAGGAGGGGGAGGAAGTTGAGGGGGGAGGTGGTGGCGACAACCTACACCTCACTCCCATCCTTTGATTATTGCCATTATCCGCAGACGCTTGTCATACCCGACCAGGGTCTCCACCACAAAGACCCCATCGAGCACAATCGGAAGGGGGAGCTGCGTACATAGGAAGAGGAGGTGGCGGATGAGCATGAGGATGAGCAGGAGGATAAGGATGAGGAGGAGGACGAGCAGGGAGAGGAGGATGTGGAAGGACGAGGACGGCGACGAACCCTGCACCAGCAGGAACTGGAGTGGAAAGAGCGGGAGAGGCAGGAGGACCAGGGGAAGGAGGAGAACGGGAAACGGGAGGGCGACAACAATGCGAAAGGACTCGGATCCAAAAAGGTGTCCCACGCTGGGGCGAGAGCGCCATTCTGGACGACAGGAGCAAAGCGCCGATCCGTAAACGAGGCCACGCTGCATCGGGAGCACCATTTTGAAACGCCGAGAACAATCGGACTGAGAAACAGAGGCAATGGAACATACAAGTTTTCCCATATGTAGCGTGCACAAAAAAAATAGGTCGCGGAGAGAATCCGCCCTCATTGGGACCGAGTCCGGCGAGATAGGAGAGAAATAAATCATGGTGCTAACGTTTTAGCGCCTGCGGCGCTTGCCACCACGGCCTGGTCGACCCGGAAGTCCTGGTCGGAAAGCGCCCCGGGAGAGGTCGGGAGGTCGACCTGGCAGGATGATAGGTGACGGGGAGAGGTGGGGAGAAGGAGGAGGAGAAGGATGAGGATGACAGGCTCCACGGCCATGGCCCTCGGACAATGTTGGCGGGTACCAGCAAGCGCGAGACAACCCAGCGAGCCACACATCCCCAGAAGATCTGCGGGGGAATCTCCATTTGCTGAGTTGAATCATGAGGCGCATCTGCGGGCTTTGGAATCTTCCCAGAGATTATCTGGGGAATTCCCAAAAACCCTCAACAAACAAATTGAATGTTTAAACATTCGTCACACCACACCCAGAACTCTCCAATGATATCTCCAAGTCTCGTGTCTTATTCTCAGCAGGCAAATTGAACCTAGTGGTTGATGTTTCCCAGGAGATGGCCTGAGATTCTGTCAGGGTTGGACATTGCCAGGGACATGGCATCATTCCGGAAGTTTCCCCAGGGCTAGATCATAATTGACGGTGTGTTGGAGATGGATTGGAGATTTGTTGGAGATCGTTTGGGTACGTCATCATCATCATCGTCGTCATTGCGACCGTCGTCATCATCACCCCCGCCATTACCATCGTCATCGTCATCGTCGTCACTGCCGTCGAGCTTCTACGCGCGAGTACTTCCTCAGCATTCTCACCAGCAGAATCGTCATCATCTTCTCCAGCCTCAGCATTGCCACCGCCAATATCATCAGCACCAACTTCGCCACCATCACCACCGTCGCGGTTGGCATCGTCCCCACCGTCGACATGATGCTGATCATCATCCTCATCATCCTCATCATCATCATCACCATCATCACCATCATCCTTTTCATCATCGTCATCATCACCATCCGTCGCTGCGCCACGACTGGATTTTCGACCTTCTAATGCTCATGCATATCCATGTGTATCTCGTGAATGCGGAAGGTTCATGCGCAGAAGCATTAAACCAATCTGGAATTGTGTGGTAAGCTTTTCGACGGATGCAACATTGCCCAAGGAATCAAACAAGGGAGTCTTATGTCACGCGCTCTGTTCGCGCTGTGCGTAAACCCGCTTCATCGTACATTAGCACCTCTTCAAGCTTTGCCGCGAGCGTTCGCGGACGACATCCAGACTTCAGCTGTCAGTCTCTTGCTCGCCGTACCCGTGGTCCTGCGCACTGTCCTTCCCGCGAACGAGTGCACAGGTCTCGGGCTAAATCGTGCCAAGTGTCTCTTCGTTCACGTGGATGAGATGCTTGGCGACGCCTTCGCCGCTCTGTTCAGAACTGTTCGTCTCAACGCTCTGTCCCTGCAGCACGCAGCACGGCACTTGGTCCAGGATGCTACCTGAAGACGTGGGCCGGCCCTTTTCTGAAGTTCGTGGATCGGGTTCGGCGTGCACGCTCGCTGCACGTGGGCCCCACTCAGAGCACGTACGCGTACAACTCCTTAGCCTTCTCCTTCTTCTGTGCTTTCACAATCTCGTTCATTACTACTTCGACGTCCTCGAGGCCCCCAGATATCCGAGATGGGTCTCTGCGTCAAATGTGCCCCAGCTCATGGCCAACGACGACGGCCGGATGTCTGCTATTTCGTGGAAGATCGACGAACTCACCCATGAGTTGCAGCGAAAAGTGACCGCCAAGCTTGGAGCCCGCCATGTTTTTCGACCGCTTCAGCTATGCTTTCTCCTCGGATCCTTCGCGCTTTTCCCCACTGCAGTGCTGCCACCACAGACCTTGTGGTCACCCGACTGCGGCTGGCCTGGGTCAGGCTGTTCCGTTTCGTCGCCGCCGCCTTTTTCTAGTCGATCTGCAGTGCATGGGCGACGCCGGCCAGGTTTAGGCATGGGAGGATGTCCTGCAGATTTGGGCAGCATGTCCGTGGGAGGTAGTTGAGTGCACTGTCGCCCTGAGCTTCTTGCCTGCCGTTTTGCCCCATCTCCTCAGCTGCTTTCATGATTTGAGCCTCGACGAGCGATTCTTGTGTACGCGCGCGTGTGTGGATAGTCGTGAATTGTATCGCCTGTTCCTTGTGCGTGATATGCTGTATGCTACCTGTAACTCGTTGCGGGAACAGCAGAGGTGGGGGCCCGTGTGCATCCAGGCTCTTTTTCCGCTCGAGCCCGTCACATCGCCAAGACGAGGTTTGCCATCCGTCAGCTGTTAACCAGAGGGTTAACTCGGCGCGCCCAGGGGAGTGTGATCATCGCCGTTATCACCACCATCATATCATCCCCATCATCACCATCATCAACATCATCAGCATCATCATCATGATGATGATCATCATCATCATCATCATCGTCGTCGTCGTCGTCGTCGTCGTCGTCGTCGTCGTCGTCGTCGTCGTCATCGTCATCGTCATCGTCATCATCGTCATCAGCAGCATCATCATCATCATTGTCAACATCATCAGCGTCATCGCCATCACCATAATTGAGTGCGTTGATCGTTGCAGCGGTGAGTGCCGCAATCTCTGCGGCTCACGTCTTACTTTGTGCGACTCCTGTGCACGAGCTCGCCCGCTGTTCGGAGAGACTCTGAGATACGGTGCCCAGGCGGCGGGCGCTTCGGTGGCCGCGCGGGCGGTCGCTCTGCGCTCCGCAGCTGACCTGCCCCGCCATCGCGTCGTGCGTCTGCTCGGGCGCGGGCGGCCAGCTGACGGAGCCGTCCTGCGTGGGCGCCGTGACGGCCTGTTCCCTGGCGGCGCTGATCGTCGGGTTCACCGTCGGCGCGGCGGGGGCCTTCAGCTTGCAGAGGTGTCAGGTCAATCGCCCCGTTGAGGTGCCATTCGGCAGCCAGCTTTGACGAGAGTGTTCGTGCCCGGGCTCTGGCCATCAGAAGCAGGCGGGCTGCAATGCGGGCTGCCCGTTCACAGTAGTCATGGCACACCAAGTGTTCTGGCAGCTATTGCGATATCAGATTCCAGGGACCCAGGTCTGGCAGCAGAGGTTGGTCGTGCATCGAAACCCTGGCACGACAGGCTATGCTTTCACACCCGACGGCGACAGCCACGCAGAAAATATGGCCCCAGACCCTGACATCGCGGCTGTGATTGGATTGCCAGGTCAAGGGGATAAACCCTCAAGTTTGCGGGTGTACGGCTTCAGGTCCTTGCCATCCGACGTGGATCTCGCTGTGCGGAGTCGCCCGTCCCCCGCCGCCACCGTCCATGCCGCTGGCTGCTGGCAGCGTCGGCGGCCCTGCGGTGGACGCTCAGTTCCCGACCGACATGGCGCCGCCTGCAGACGCCCCGGCCGCGCCCCGATTGGGCCCTCCCGCGGCGGGGGCTGCTGCCGCCGCTCCCTGTTCCGGAGGAGGGGGAGGGGGAGGAGGAGGAGGAGGAGGAGGAGGAGGAGGAGGAGGAGGAGGAGGAGGAGGAGGAGGAGGAGGAGGAGGAGGAGGAGGAGGAGGAGAGGAGGAGGAGGAGGAGGGGGGAGGAGGAGGGGAGGAGGAGGAGGAGGAGGAGGAGGAGGAGGAGGAGGAGGAGGAGGAGGAGGAGGAGGAGGAGGAGGAGGGGGAGGGGAGGAGGAGGAGGAGAAGGAGGAGGAGGAGGCGGAGGAGGAGGAAGCGCTGACGTGGGGATGCCCGGCCTGGTCGCTGCCCTGGCGGGCGCGGGTGCGCCCGCGGTGGGGGCGTTCGCCCTGCCGGCGCCGCCTGCGGCTGGCCCCGCGGCGGCCGCTGGGCCGGCTGCTCTGATGCTCTATCGGAGTCTCTCGGGTGTCCCTCGGCAGCTTCTGTGAGGGCCATTTCGGGGGGCCCTCGGGGCCCTCCCGGCCCGTCGTGGGGCCCCCTCTGGGGCCCGAAGAGTCCACAGGAGGAACCGCGGCGCGCCCTGGGGGCACGAGACGGGAGCCTCGGAAGAGGGGTGAGTTTCGGGTGCAGGCCCCGTGGCGAGTCCTCAGGAAGAGGTTGAGCGCGGGACCCGGGGACATTCCTCTTAAAGTGCCCCAGGGGCGCGGTGGTCGAACAGCGTTGCCTTTCCCCAGTATGGGCACGTGGGTCCTCCAAGGAGGGCCTCGTCTTGTCTTGGTTGTGTGCGTTCTTTTTGTTTGTGTTCTCTCTTGCTCTCTCGCTCTTTTTCAGCCTTTCTCTTTTTGTTGTTTCTCTCTCTGTCTCTCTCTTTCTCTCGCTCTCTCTCTCTCTCTCTCGTTCTCTCTTCCTATCTATTTGTATACATATATATATATATAGAGAAAGAGAGAGAGAGAGAGAGAGAGAGAGAGAGATAGACTCGCTCCCCTCTACAAGGACATGGTCTGCGTATTATTCCTTACCCATATGACAGTGCCCTTTCGCGCTGCCCCCCTACCGAGTATACTTGGTCTACACAGGACATTGATCATGTGCTTCAGGTGTTTGTATGTGTTGTTTCCGACACAGGTGGAAGAGATGGGTTGGGTAGGTCGGATGTCAGATGTGCCGCAGAAGCGCTCCATTGTACCACTACACATGAGTACAACCCTCCTGGCTCCCCTGGAGACGGCCTGTCAATACCTCATGTGTTTGTGTCCTGTTCGAGCGTTCTCGGTCTGTCAAATGGTGCCCCTGCTTCAACGCTGGTCTCATTGGAGGATCGACGCTTTGCGCCCGTCGTTCAGGATGGCACTCTCGCCACAGCGATCCAAGTGCTTCCTAGTCGCTGTCGCTCCTTTTTTTTCCTACCCCGGCTTCCCCTGGTCCTCCTGCTCCTCCCGCTCCTCCTGCTGCTGCAGGTCCTCTTCGTCGTCCTTCCTCCCGTCCTTCGTCCCCAGGGCCGCACGGGGGGGGTATCCTCTTTCGCTGGCTCCGGGCGTTTGTTGGTAGCAGTGGCATCCTGATCCCATCATTTACAGTTCTGCTATCTCCCAAAGCCGCGTAGGGAGGGTACGGAAGGCGAAATTAGTTCTTCAGCGTAGCTGGGATTGTGCCTCTTTGTGTTCTCTTATTCACGTGGTGCTGCGAGCGGTGGTCAATTATTGCAAGCGCTGGGGGCTTTTTCCTTGAATGCAATGAGGCTGTTTTCGGTGTAAACGATCCTTCAGGGTTGCCCGATGACCAGTTTGCTGTAGTGGGCCGTGTCGAGTTTGCTTCGGTTCAGCTTATTTGTATCAAGGTGGCTTTTGGCATTCTTTCAACTTCCTCTGTATGTTGTCTGGTGGTGTTGAAGGGGTGAACCGACTGTCAATGTTCGGGAGGGGCCCATCCGCGGTATCGTCTCGGTGTTCCACGTGCTTCTTTTCTGCCAGCTGTACGGAATGAAGTGCGTCTCCTACCTGTCCGTCGTGCTTTTCGACAAGTCCAAGGGGTGCGTTTGTGTTCGAATCTTCGCTTCGCGACTGTTCTCACTCACTCACTCTTCGTTCTGCTCGTCCGTTCATTTTCCCTCCAGTGTGCGCAGCTCTCCCTGTCAGATCGAGCGTAACATGATGTGGTCCTTTTGGGTGTGCCAGGTCCGTCCAGGAGAAAGCTCACTTCAATGGAAAAATTGGAGTCGGATGTCAGATGTGGCGCGACCGCACCTAGCTTGCTACTCTATTCTCTTTTCTCTCCCTTCTTCCCTATCGACTCGCTTCATCCTCTCCCTCGTGCCCTGGCCCTCTTTTCCTGCATCCTCCTCCTCCTGTCGCCCTGCTCCTCCTCTCGTCCTACGCTCGCCCTCCTCCCGTCGCCATGGTCTCCTGTCCCCCTTCCCAGCTGTCATTTCATACTTCTCAGGTGCATTCGGTTCAACGAGATGCCGGGCGAGGCGCTGGGGGGGAGTTTGACAGTTGGAGGAACACGAGGTCGACAAGAAGGACAAGAACATGGGGATGGTGGAGGACGAACATGCGAGGAGGAAGAGGGAAGAGGCGGAGGAGAAGGACATGGAGCAGGAGGAGAGGTGGTGGAGGACGAGAGGGGAGGATGAGGATGACAGGGCCGAGGTCGGGATGGTGCGGTCTTGGTCGCTCCGGGTTGTGAGGCGGTGCGAACGGGGAGGGGTGTAGGAAAACATGTGTGCACAAAGCCGACGGCCTAAATTAGCGCACGGGAAGAGGAAGGCGAAGAGAGACAAGACCACGCAACGGGGGAGGGGGGGAATACACCCATCGAGGGAAACAGCGAGCTGTTGGGCCTGATATCATACATGGCATACGTGTTGTCAGGTTTGGGGGGGAGCTGAGAGCGCACCAAACTGGCAAAACACAGTGCCCCCGAGGTGCCGAAGACATCAGGTGCTTTTGCGGGTGACTCCACAGTACAGCTCCAAGCGCTCATGGGAAACACTGCTTCTAAACAGTGTTGCTCATGGACGCGGTGAGGACTCTCGCCGCTGCGACAAGACTTTTTGTCGCAGCGGCGAGAGTCCTCACCGCGTTCCGGGGCAGCCGTGGGCTGCAGCGCGGCCGAATGGGGCACATCATGCGAAGGGGGGGGCAGACGCGCGCAGGGCGTGAAGCTCTTGAACGTGTATGCCAAACACGTGCCTCTGCGAAGATGTGGAAGTGCGCTCGTGGGAAACCACGAGGAAGATGTGGAAGTGCACTGCGAAGATGTGGAAGTGCGCTGTGGTAGCTCTGCAGTCCACCGGAGGCCGCGTGCGCCCGTATCGCCTTGCGGGTTCTCCGCGAGCGAGTGGGCTGCACTTGCGCGGAAGCCTTGCGCACTCGGTGTCTCGCATGGCCCGGCAGCACGGCCAGACGTACGGACGTTGGATTGAAAGTAATGACGTGGGCGTTCCAACTGGTTGCGTGGACCCTGGGAATCAGAGCGTGAATTACCTACCCCGCTTTCGTTTCCAGGCAAAACCAAGTCATACCACGCGCCTCCTCGTCAAGCGGCCTGACCAGTACAGGCCGTAGTTTGGCATCTCTTGGTATCTCTTGGAAGCGAGGGTGGTCAAAAGCGAGGTCGGTTTGTTTGTCCCCTAGAGAAGGGGGTTGCATCATTCGTAGTGGGATATGCGTAAGGTGCTTATACTTGTTTGTATATGTGTATACATAAACAGATACACATGGTGCGATATATGCGGCGCATTCCCCGTGGTGCAATTGATCACGTCAAGAACTCATTGTCAACTCCACTGGGTCGCGCAAACATCCCACCCTCCCATCAACAACTTGTTCTGCAAGACCCATGTGGGTTTGACGAAACAAGTTGCAGTGCCGCTTCTCGTTGTCACTTGCCTGGGCGGGCTCTTTTTGGCAACCCCACTGCCTGGTCAGTCTTCCTCTTTTCATGTTCTGTTTCCTCTTCTTCGTTTTTGGTCTTACCCGTAAGGGATAGTGGTGCGAGGGCCACCGAATGCGAACGCACTCAATGGCTCCTCTTCTCGCGCTCGTGCGGGACATGTTATGGGCGTCCCTAGCGAGCTCTGGGTTGGCTTAAGCATGTAGGAGCTGTGCGCCCCTCCCTGGCCCTTTTCTCCTCTTCGTCCCCTGTGTGATGTTTTCACAGATGGCCACGCACTCAGGTGCACGCTGCGAGGCAGCGTTGCTGCTGGCGTTTACGGATCCAGAGCTAGTGGAGGCACCACTGCTTGCTGGCTGTGGCCCTGTGTGATGCTTGTAAAAAAACAGTTTTTTGCAAAACCCATGCGGCGAAGATTGCGGTGACTGCTTGGTGCAGGCTGGCGCATCTCTGCGGCCGTGCTGGCGCGCGCAAGCTCGCGCGCAAAGCGGCCAGCTGGCTGGCATGGTTGATGCGGCCGCGACGGCGCTTGCCAATGGAAATTCTGCAGCGCGAGTCAATGGCCGCGCTGGCGCGCGGACGTTTCTGTGCGGGTCGGCGACTCGGGCGGGCACGATACCATGATGACGTTGACACCGGCGACAACGATGATTATATCAGCGGTGGTGGTGGCGATGATGACGATGACGACTGCAAGGCCAACGGCGGCGATGCAGTTGACGACGACGGCGATAATGATATTGATGATGGTGATGCTTATGATGATAGTGATCATGATGATGATGGTGATGATGATGCTGATGATGGTGATGATGATGTTGGTGATGATGATGGTGGTGGTGATGTCGGTGGTGAAAGTGATCGACTCATGGTGACGGTATTGGCCGCAATTGACGATGACGATACCCAGCTGCCTGCGAAGTCCCGACACCGTGCTTGAGTTGTGGTTTACACACCTATTGTGTGTTCGTTGGGATCTTGTGGGAGGCCTCTGGGGGCCGTTTCGCCGTTTTGGGGCCGTTTTGGAACGTCTTTGGGGCATCTTGCTGGCCTCTTGGGGGCCTCTTGACTCTCGGGGCAGACAGCTCGGATTTTCGATTCGTGTTCCCCTTCTTGGGTCCCTTCTGCTGCTGTCTTGGGCCTTCTTGGACCGTTTTGTGCGCCTTTTGGGCCTTCTTGGGGCGCTCTTAGGCTGTCTTGGGGCCCTTTTGGAGGCCTCTTGGGCAGTTATTCTATAGTATTGAGGGCCTCTTGGGCCGTCTTGGAGCGTAGGAAAGCCGAAAAGGCGAGAACATCTAAATCCTTCACAAACCTTAGGACGTTAATACTTTTTGCCTCTTGGGACCCTCTTGGGGGCCTCCTGGAGGCCTCTTGGGACGTCTTGGAGGCCTATTGGGCAATCTGGAGGCCATCTTGTGCGTTTTCGTGCGATCGTTCGGCGACTCGGAGCCCTCTTGGGCGGCCTGGGTGTGTTTCCCGGGCCGTCATGGAAGCTTTGGAAAACCCCAGCCCAGGAATGCGCTCAGGGAAGTGTGACCGAGGGGGTGGGGGTCCCTTAGAAGACTACTGCAGCCCCGCCGGGGAGCTCTTGACATCCTTCCGCGCCTCCACGTGTTGCAGGCACGGTGGCGGAACTTGGCGGCAATGGCCGCGATTGACGATGATGATAATTGTGGTGATGACATGGCGCTGGTGAGGGTGATGGTGAGGAAGTGCGTGCGCTCAGAGATCCAACGCATCGTGCAACCCTTTTGGTTGGGAAGCTGGTGGCTTTCACATGTCGTTGAAGAGTTCTAGTTTTCAACGGCGTCGACAACGAACAGGGTTTCGGTGCGCGCGCGCGTGCGTAGCGGCGCGCGCATGTGGCCTGCACGGTAGCATTACGTACGGACCCGTGCACTGGGCGCACGTTAGATCAACGAGGGCGCACCGCGTGGCGAAATGAGAATGCAGGTTCCGGACGGGACCGCTAGGCCCAAATTCGGGGGTGGACAGAACCCCCCGCAGTGACACGTCGATTAGTGAATTGTCCGTTTTCGGTTCTCGAGAGGGCGCCGTGGCCGTTATTTTCCAGGCTTGCGCCCGCCATGTTTGGGCCTCAGGTCGGTCGTTTTCACTAAACCACGTTTTACTAAAGGGGGGTCTGACCATCCCCGACAAGTGCTTCTTGCACGGTTTCAGCCAGCTCGCGCGGGCACAACATTTGCAAAGTTCTGTGGGGGAGACGGCCAAGGGGTTTTCGTTTGTGTTTATGTCGAAGCTCTGACATCATATGGTGGTTGGAACGATGTCGACATGTGCGCGCGAGTAGTTTGTAGCATTTGTCCGCCATGGGTTGTTACAAAATTAGATGATGTGATAAAGTTGTGCTCGCGCATTGAATTACTTAATCGCTTCGCTCATTCCGCCGGCCCGTATTCTGTCATTGCTAGCGTTTGCCTGCGCATTCGTGGCCCTTGCGGCGCTGCTTGGCGGTGGTTGTTTTTTTGAAGGCGTTGCGGCAGCAGGCATGGAGGTGAAGTAATTTTTTTGGAGCTTGTCGTGGGGGTTCTGTCATCTACTGTTCCACCGCCGTGCTTGGGTTGTGGGTCAGAGTTCTCGCGGATGCGTGTTCGCTCATTGAATTGTTTGACAGAGGCGAGAGGGGTCGATTACTGGTCGAATGGGATGGTGCGGTGTCATATGGAACATGAGCGACGAGGCAGAAACATATGTAAGTTGCAGAGTCCCAGGGGGTCCCGCTAGCACCGGGGGGAGGAGGGTGGTGGAATATTTTTGCTTGCAAAGGGAATGTACGGTGTGCAAGTTATATGGTGCACCCCATTATTTCTATTCGTGCGATACTTGCGGAACTGCTGTGTTTGGTATGATTTCGGCATGCGCGCGCGGGCGTGTGGACTGCGTTGTAGTTGTTGCATGGTTCACTGGGTTCATTGATTCTGCGAAAAGCGGGTGTGCGCAGACTATCATTTGTCACGGATGAGGCGAGGGGGCCAATACCGTCTGGCCTGGCTTGGGATGGGATGAGTTCAGATGGACAATGAGCGGCGTGGAATCATACGTAATTTGCTGTGCCCCATGGAGGTAGCGCTAAGTCCAGGGGGGAACGGGTGGTGGAGCCAATTCGTCTTGTGCAGGGCGAAGCTGTGTGGTGCAAGCTATACGGTCCAGTCTGTGGGGTGCAGGCCACGTGAGGCGAGCTATTTGGTGCAGGCTATGCCGGCAACGGGGGCGGCAAAGGGCGTCCACCGTGCGAAATGGTAACACGCCCAGCCAGCGCACGGGGTGGCGACGAGGCGGCGACGGGCGCTCATTGGTCGAGCACCCAGGACACCCTCCTGGGACTCAGCACTTGAGTGGGGACGCGTTAGTGCAAGCACTGCTTTGAGAACACCATCCCCCTCCCTGCTCCTGCTCGTTCTGCCCTCCCTCTCCCGCCTCTGCCTCCCTCGTTCGTCCTCGGTCGGCCGCCTCCTCCTCTTCCTCCTCCTCCTCCTCCTCCTCTGCTCCTCCTCTGTTCCTCCTCCTCCTCCTCCTCCTCCTCCTTCACCTCCTCCTCCTCCTCCTCCGCCCCCTTCTCCTCCTCGCCCTGATGTGGAGGGGGGCGCGAAGGAGGAGAACGGGGAGGAGTAATGACGAGGAGGAGTACGAAGAGGACGAATATCGAGAGGGCCCCCCTCCCCCCCCCAGCCTCCCATGCTTCGGCGCGAGGCCCCTGCTGAGCCCACAGGGGCCGCGGCGGCCGCCTGACTCCAGCACGGGGCCCCTCGCGCACGCCCCGGCGCACGCTCGCGCTGGGGTGGACGGCGTCGTCGGCGGCGGCGTGGCTGGTCGGCGCGGCCGTTCCGCTCCCCCGAAGCCTCCGCGCGTGCTGCCGGACATCCTTGTACCTTTGGCGCCCCGTGCCGCGCTCGCGGAGCTGGGCGCGCGTGCCGCTTGCGCGCTGGGCCTGCTGCCTAAGAGGCGCCCGGCCTCTCTGGTTCCTCCCTCCCTTCCCCCCCTCCCTGCTCATCCCTGATCCCTCGTCCAGCTCTCCTCCTGCCCTGCCGATTCTCCCCCTTTTTCCTGCTGAACTTCCACCTCCTTCTCCTCCCCCCCCTCCTTCCCCCTCCTGCTCCTCCCTCCACCTCCTCCCCTCTTAGCCTCCCCGCTTCCCCTCCTCCCACCCTACCCCCCTTTTCCATTCCTCTTCCAGGATGTCCTTCCTTTTCTTTCTTTCAGAGCTTAATTCCGTACTTAGTGCTGTCGCCACATTCAGCAGTAGATTCGAGTCGACACCGCGAATCCTGACAGCCCGATCCCGTGCTTGATCCTCCTCTGGCCTCTCTCTATTCCCGTAGCCATGTTGGTTCAAGCGTGCCCAGAGTCGGACCACAGCACATGCGTGCAGCGCGCCGTCATGCCGCGTGTTTCGCTGATGATCGTCATGTTGTGCATGTGCTACCAGGTCGCCACTACGAGGGACGAGTTCTCCGACACATCGATCGAGGCTCTGTCTGCATCATCGTGGTGGCCACCGCCTTTGGAACCGCCCTCCCGATTTTCATGCGGACGGTGGCCCACGACGAGGATACGGTCATTACAACGGCGACGCTGACCAGGTGGCAGCGCAGGCAGAATACTCCTGTTGTTCCGGTACGGCGGTGTTTTTTTCATTGATTTCATATTTCGCTGGGGCGATTGGAAACATGTTCAGTGCACATGGTCAGCTGATGTACTCGGCAGGTCGTGATCTTGACTAGTGAGGTTATGCACGCGAGGTCTCCTGAAGCCTCTTTTTTCCGAAGTGGTGCCCGCGTTGACATGCATCGCCAGCGTCGTCGATTCAGCCCAAGACACCTAAAGCCGCGCGACGTGCTGAAGCGCCAGAGTCCAAGATGGCCGCGCGGCGCGCGCCAGCATCGCGCCCGACATCTGCAGCCGCACGCGGACTTTAGCGCGTCGTATGTGGGTGAGCTCAAGGTCCCACTCTGTCGACCAAACGTGTCTGACAAAAAACGGGTTGACACGAGTTGCTCTAGTAGCCAGAGTGGAGGACCAGGAGGAGGAGGAGAAAGAAGAGGAGGAGAAAGAAGAGGAGGAGGAGGAGGAGGAGGAGGAGGAGGAGGAGGAGGAGGGGGTGGAGGAAGAGGAGGAGGAAAAGGAGTAAGAGGAGGAAGGGGAGAAGGAGGAGGAGGAGGAGGCGGCGGAGTAGGAGGAGGAGGAGGCAGAGGAGGAGGAGGAGGAGGAGGAGGAGGAGGAGGGAGGAGGAGGAGGAGGAGGAGGAGGAGGAGGAGTGAGTTGCGGGTCCATCGGGATGCCTGGCGAACCAGGCCACTCGGGGCACTCAGGCGACTCGGGTCCTTCGGCATGCCCCGCGCGCTGGCCCATGCGGGCCAGGGCCAGTCGGAAAGTCTCGAAGCACTGGCCTCTCAGGCTACCTGTGCCTTGGCTGGGTTGCCCCGAACATCAAGCAGTGGCGAAGCGTCCTGGCTCGCCTATAGGCCCACCAAAGAATGATCTAAGAACCTTCGGTGCTGTCGACGAAATTTTCTTAAAACATTTCTGGCTGATGTTGTTTTGTTATGTCATTTCGGGTGCATGTTCTAAGAGCACCGTTTTTGTTTTTCGAACATGTTTGGGGGTTCTTATAACATTTCGTGGTGGGTCTATAGGAATGCCGCGACGGTCGGTCCCTGCTCAAGAACAACCGGCCCTGGGATTGGAAAAACGACTGGGGACGAAAAGCTGGGCCTGGCGAAGTTGTCTGGGCTCGGAGAGGCTTCAGAAGAAACCGACACGAAGCGGTGAGGCCTCGTAGGTTGCTCCGGAGCCCTGGAGCCCTTGGGGGCTGGACTTGACGTCTCTTGGTCCGTGCTGGAGCTGTCTTGGACCGTCTCGGGGCTGTTTGGGGAGTCTTCTGAGCTATCTTGAAACTCTCTTGGCTCATCTAGGTTTCCTCTTGGAGGTCCCTTGCATGCCCCGTGAGGCCCTCTTGGAGGCCAGAATCGCCCAGGCACGCGCTGGAGCAATCCAGGGCTGCGTCGAATCGCCCAGTGAAGCATTTAAATCATTTAGGGCCGTCTTCGGATCGAGCGCGCCCTCGAATCGGGCAGGCCCGTCTTGATGCCGCCCAGGGCCGTCCTCGACTCGCTCATGGCTGCCAGCCGCCCACGAGCTCCGAACGGCTTCTTGTAACGCCAAAATACGGCCTCAGAGGGTTCCCGCGGAATCCGCGCAACTTCGAAAATCTGCCTCCAAGAATGCCCCCCAAACTGCTTCAGGATGGCGAGCTGGAAGAGTCCCCACGACGACCCCGAGTCAACTTCAGAGGCCTGGCATGGAATCGACACGAATTTGCAAATTCCGTGAACGGGCCCGGGAGCGTCCGAGATGGCCTCACGACGTGCCAAGAGGCGAAGAGGCCCTCAAGAAGCTGCCAAGAGAGCCCCGAGACGGCCCAAGATGGCATCAGGATGACTCAGAGGATTCCCGTGACCACTCCGAGACACTTCGGCGGGTTCGGCCCTCGAGCGGCGGCACGCGCGCTGAGCGCCCTCGAGCGTCGCCGCGAGCGCGTGGTCTATTCGTGTCCTACCCGCCTCCCCCGCGAAACTTTTGTTTTAAATCGTGTCGCTCCCATTTTTAAGAATCGCGTGCCCCCATTACCATACTTGGTTCGCGCGGGTTCGGCGGGAGCCCGTGGGGGGGCCCACCGCTAGCGCCAGATTTGGCCTGCGCGGGCTCGGCCTTGGTCGTGGGGGCCCACCGTGCGGACCGAAATTGGTCGCGCGAGGGCCCGTGGGGTGCCCCAGGAGACTGCAGAAGGCCCCGGGAGGCCCCGGGAGGTCTCGCGAGGCCACGGGCAAAGGGAGGAGGAGGAGGAAGCTCCGGGAGGCCCCAAGAGGCTACGGGCGACCCCAGGATGCCCACGGACGCCCCA